ATATATAGTTTATTTCAAATACAACCTATCGCATTTGTACAACCAATGCAACCCAATAAATTGAAATATTTATGGAAATGATTAAAGTTCATTTATTATGATTTAAATATTTATGGAAGATGAATACGGTTCATTAATTATGATTAATACTTTATAATAGGAAAGAATCAAAATCTCTATAAAATCACATATTAATCAAATGAAATGGACGGTTGAGATTAGGTTGTATTGGTTGCACAAATGACCAGGGTTGTATAATAACCAACCTATATATATATATATATATATATATATATATATATGTGGAGGTTCAAACGAGAACCCCTGTGATTTACGAGAATGCGAGAACAATCTAATAACCTCAAGCTTTTTTAATTAATAAATTAACTTATATTAAATATAAATAAATTAATAAGGGCAGTAATGTAATTAATTAATTTTATAATTTTTATTTTATATTAATTAATCATAATTATCCCTTTTTTTCCTGCACGTTCTTTTCCACTCTCTCCTCTCCCTTGTGATAATTGTGTGATTGTGTAACCATAACCTATCGAAACCGTAATCAATGAAGTGTAATCATAACCTATCGAAACCATGAGTAATCGTTGTGATAAATGTGTGATTGTCTAACCCTAACCGATCGAAACTATGATCAAATTTAGTGCGCAAGTGATGTTATAATAGTGATATCACATAATTATCACACCAAATCGTTTAGTGGATTTCGCCCGTAATCTTTGTGATAAATGTGTGATCGTCTAATCCTAACCGATCGAAACCATGATCAAATCGAGTGCGCGCTGTTATGATAGTGATATCACATGATTATCACACCCATATCACACCAAATCGGTAGTCGATTTTCTAAGTTAACCCTAGCCGAGCGGAATCCTTGTGATAATTGTGTGATAATCGTATGATTATCACACCCATATCACACCAAATTGTGTTGATATAAGCGATAATATGATAATTGTGTGATAATCACATGATTATCACACCCATATCACACCCAAATCACACCAAATCGTGTCGATATAAGCGATAATGTGATAATCACATGATTATCACATGATTAACCGTTTATTAGATAATGATAATCATGATCGTGTAATCATATTAAAAGATTTTATGATATCATTTCCATTATTACCCTTTTAATTTTAATATTTTTTGAATCTTTTTAAATTTCAATTTTAGTTTTAAAAATATTTTAATTTTACTTTTTATCACAATATGTGGTTATTGGGTTGTTCTCGCATTCTCGTAAATCACAGGGGTTCTCGTTTGAACCCTTCCCTATATATATATATATATATATATATATATATAAAGGGTATATTTCAAATGCAACCATATCCATTTGTACAACCAATGCATCCCAATCAATTGAGATATTTATAGAAATGATAAGAATTCATTTATTATGATTTAAATATTTATGAAGAATGACTAGAGTTCATTAATTATGATCAATACTTTATATTACGAAACAATCAAAACTTTTATGAAATTACATATTCATCAAATTAAATGGACGATTGAAATTCAATTGTATTGGTTGTACAAATGTAAAAGGTTGCATAATAACTCAACAAGCTCTCTTTCTCTATATCAAACCATTTAACGCCACACGCGTGGACGTACTGCCAAAGAAAATGATATGCTGGCAAGTGGGCAACCATCAAAGATGTACTGAAACTTGAACGCGATGGATAACTCGAGACTCCAGATTTACGAGGGCAACCAATAAATTTTAATAGAAAAATCTGCAGAGCATTGGAAAACAACCAAATTTATCGCAAACCACTCACTAAAACAACCATCTAGTCAAGCAAATCAATGTATGATAAATGTGTGGGTACCCTTTACCGGATGAGGGATAAAGGTAGAATAAAATCCAAGCGAATAAAAATTTAGAGCATCAAACAATGGTTAATCATCTTCTTCTGTCAACCGCAAGACTCTCAAAAACTCTGCTCCTACTACCCTCCACTCCAGCAATGGTCAATCACCGCAACACCAAAACTATAGTTAAATGCTACATAATCACCAACATATATTACGCCATAATTACTATACAAACCATTTATCCAAAACTCTTAACCTTTCCTCACCCACTCAATTCATTACCTATTTACTGCAAAATCTTGGCACAGTCAAATATCTTGACCGTGGTTTGACTTCATGAACAAAGATCTTCAGAACTCACCTCCCCATTGGTTAGCTTCAGTGGATCTGATGCTCCCACTTCTTTGTCATCCAAACTCAGCTTCTGTACTGAAGCTTCTTCAACACTTGCTTCATGTGGAGCTTCTGTGTCCGCTTGCAAGCTGTTGGAAGATTGTATCCATCTTCTCCATTCACTACGCCTCCTTACCTTCTCACCCTGCAATTGCAAACCACATTTTGTAATAATTATGTAGAATATGAACACAATCTTGAAAACACAAGATATATATATATATATATATATATATATATATATATATATATACCCTATATATAGAGAGAGAGAGAAAGAGAGAGGACAAATCAAATATAAAGGTTACAAACCATGCAATTAAAATATTTACGGAAATAATGAAGGTTCATTTATTACGATTTGAAATATTTATGAAATATGATTAGAATTCATTAATTATGAACAAAGCCTTAAATTAAGAAACAATCGGGTATAATTACAAAACTAGATATTCATTAGACTAGATGAACGGTTAAGATATGTTTGTAACCTTTCCATGGTTTGTATTTGGTGTGTCCTACACACACACACACACACACAATACTAAAAACTCAAAGAAAAACAGTTGTTTCAAACCACTGTTTTTCAACAGTATAGAAGGGCACCTGAATTTCAACAGTAGCCGAATCTCTCAAGGAATTCAAAATCATTTGGATGTCATTTGTCAAACTTTGAACCTGAAAAATGATATCATGAATCAATACTTATGATACAATAAAGTAAGATAGATACAAATTGTAAAAGAATATAGCGAATTGGACACGAGAAAGACAGACGATTTTTCAGTTGAAGTTAGAGAAATGCCAATATGTGTAATTCACCAGCACTACATCCTCCATTTACTTGCACAAATCTTCATTAGTTAAGAACCTTCAAGTTCTGCAAATAATCTCTTCCATGTATAACCTCCCCTCATAACTCAATATGTGAGTCAACTTCCGGGCTATAAGTTGAACAACTAGAATATAAATTGTTAAGACTATTCTATTTTTAGTTCAATCAATCAATCATTGTTTTCAATTCGGTAAATAACAGACGCTCTATATTGTCATTGACCAGTGGCCGAGAAAAAAGAGGAAAAGAGCAAGTTGTATATTAGAGCATACAAAACACGAACACTGTATACCAAAGAAAAGAATGAGTTTTTAAAAGCAACTACGTCGTCCAACTACAAGACTGATGCTAAGACAACATGCAGACAATTAGCCATTAACCTAATCATGAACACAACTGGTATGCAAATTGGTAAAAACAAAAAGGAACACAAAAAAACATAGAGTGCCTAGTGATTGCAATAATACAAAATATATTGAATATAATGCTTCACATGCAACTTGTAGTTTTTACCAGAATGAACACTCGAAAATAATAAAATCCGAACGAACACTAGTCAACAACTATTATACACAATGTAGAGGTCAAACAACAATAACATCAGCATCTTTTTCTTGCAAAAATATCAATGCAGAAAAGCACCAGGATTGTAAAAAGCATTTTTTGTGCGCATTTGATACTTCTTAGTTCTTGCAATAAGTTCAAAATGATGATATCAGTTTCTTTCATGATTTAAGAAGCTTAAGTAAATGAAGTTATAAAGTGAAATTCACAGGTTAAGAGCGGACAAAAAAATTATTCTATGAAATAAACTTGAAAGAAAACAGAACTCAGAACTCGACGACACCTACGAATGATTTGCACTAAACGAAGAGCATAGAAACTACCAGAAACCGTATGCATAGCCAAAAGATACCCAAATGATATCATCTTAAAAGAAAATCTCGATTAACATGCAGAATTTTTTTGGTTGGAACTTTCACAGAGCAATAATCAGATTTTTTTTTGGTTGGACTTGGACAGTGTTTCTTGAGATTATGCTTCAGAAGTCCGTAAATATAACTATACCAAATAAACATTATACCACAAGACTGATACAATAAATTTAAAAAAATTCCTACTTACACAAGGACAAGTACATATATTACTTACTCGACGAAAACCAGCTATTAACGCAATAGGTACCCAGCCTTCCTCATCCATCTGTGACCTCAAAAAGTTATCTTTGACCAAATTAGCATCACTGTAACCAACAAAAGAATCACATCGCAACCAAGATTACCATAAATAAAGACAAAGCCCAAATATAAAGTCCATTAACAATGTAAAAGCACCTGAAATAATAATCAATCTGGTTAAGTATCAAAACATGCAAAGGAGGATCCATAAGAGGGACAAACATGGAGGACGAAGGTGCATGAGGAAGAAGAGGTGCACCCCTATATGGCTCCGGAGGTAGTGTAGGAACATATATATATGATGCACCCATTTCTGCAAAAAGATTGAAACTATCAGTGTCAATTTATCTAACCTGTTATCAAGAAGCAGATCACAAAAGAACTTACCATAACCCATAGGGGTTCCATATGGTCTTAAAGGCTGAGGAGGAATAAATGGGGCAGGACCCGGATGAGGTGGTCGAATGAATCCCCTAATCGGTGGGGGAGGTGGAGGAACCATTTGATGCACATCTCTAGCAGCAGGATTTCGAGGGCTGCGCCAATCTCGATCATGGTTATGATCACGATTGCCACCATAACCATTGTTAACATAGGATCCTCCATCACTACGTGGCCGAGGACCATAATTATTCCTCAAGGTGGGATTTCTTGGTGACCAGCTATTGCTCTTAAAATGGGGAGGTTCTCTCACAGGGGAGTCTAAAACTGCTGGTACTAAATTACCATAAGACATGTCAAATAAAGGGAACGGCGGCGGCAATGGTGGTGGAGGGGGCGGCCTACTGTAGCCTGTGGACGCACCACCAGCACTTCCACCACGTCTCATATGCCGCTGTCGAACAGGATTCATATGGTTTGGATTAGAATGAGAGTTTGCATTAGTTCTAACATGTTTTTGGGGTGGTTGTAAAACTGCAGGTGCCTGAAAAGAAGCGATTAAACAAACAACATTATGAAATACATAGAGAGAACAAAGGTTCTATGCAATTAACATCCAAATAATGTGATTTAAGCCAAAATAATCAAGCCACGTTGTTATTATTATCTACGATCACAGCCATTAAAGCGAACCTGAGAAACGGCGACTGATCCATCGGAGATCGGCTTAGAAGAAGACTCTGAAGAAGAAGATAACGATTTCACTCCGGGACGAGTCGACTCAGATAGAGCGGGCCAAGAAGCAGCACCCATCACAGGTGTAGTAGTCCCATCCACAACACCATTTGCCGAGGGCTTGTTCCAAGCCGACTTCTTTACACCACCAGCATTGCAATTATTACTACCATCAGACCCCTCCTGTTGAGTCTCCGCCGCCGTAGTCACGGCCTCCACCACCGTTACCGGATCAGATAAAACAGGATTACTTTCAGCAACCCCCGGCGAAGGAGACGAAGATACCGAATCCGGCTCGCTTCCTCCGCGTACAACTTGCGCCCAGGCAGAAGGTAAAGTTCTAGGGCCGGAAGGGCTATTAAGACCACCGCCGCCGTCTTCGCCGGAATGGGTAATGGTAGCAGTAGATGCATCGGCCGTCATGGGATTTCAAAATTAGGGCAAACAAAATTGAATCTTTTCCTGAATCGAAGACGGTAGGGTTTGATTTTCAGTCAATCCAAAACAACAAACATCATGAATGGTAGAAATTTTTGCTCAAATCAAAGCTACAGTGATCAAAACAGCTAATGTGAAATCGAATAGTGATTAGAAGAAAAAAGATTAGGGTTTGTTAGGGTGAGTGATGGAGTCGTTGTCAACGACAATAGCCACCAAATGCTTACTTGTATTCCGTCTTTCACTATGGTTTTGCGTTAGAAGGGGAACGAACGGGAAAAGATGAAAGAGAAAATGTAACGAAAGTACGAAACAGAGGGGTTTTTCAGGGCTCAGTTTTATTTATAAGCATCAGGCCCGGCCCATTATCAACCTTTGCCGGGCCCATTCAGCCCAAATTTATATTATATATAAGATCTTCTATTTTAAAAAAGTTTATCTATATATTTATACGATATGATTTTAAGATATAACTGATATTAATACGTTAAAGCCATGTAATGATGTAACCGTTATCAATACGTTAAAGTGGCGTAAACGTTATTAAAACATGTACATATCGTTGAGTGGTCAGATAAAACTTATCCGTTACAAGTTCTCTTTTTGCTTTTATGTTAATTGAAAATTTAAGATTCAATGATAAGTATGGTGAAAAATTGTTAATTATTTAACGTATTAACAATTTTAGTAATTGGTTGCAATATATATAAAGATTTTGGACACTTATAGGAGATCAACTTTCCTTTTTCACCAACCATGGCCTCAATCAATACAAACTCGCATAACTCATGACGACACGAGAGTACCTCCTGCTAGACCAAATGAAAACGTACTATTCATGTATTGTGCGGTTCGTTAGACACCAGGAGTGATAATATGTCAGGTTGGGTTCGGGTTCAACTCATTTATTAAATAAATTGAAAATCTCAATCCAGTCCAACTCATTTAATTAAATGAGTTGAGATTTTTCAACACAACTCAACCTGTTACCTAAATGAGTTGACAGCAGGTTGATCTGTTTACGATTTTCTTAATCCAACTTGTTAAATAAATGGGTCGAACCTGGGTTGGCACATTTAATTTTAACATTTTAAATAAAGAAAGGAGAAAAAACCGAGAGGGAGACAATTAGACAAATGTTGGATGGAGAGAGAGTCGAGAGGAAGAAAAACGTTGCACGGAGAGAGAGCCAAGATTGAGAGACGGACAACAGACTTGAAGAGTTGGATTGAACTTTAGAGGCGATAATGGAGTAATGGACTATAGGGTTTTCTTAGAGTTTCATGATGATTAAGAGTAATGGGGGTGATTGGAATTTGGACTTTCATCTCCGATGGTAGGATTTTTAATTAAGAATAAAGCAAAATAAAAAATTAGAATACTAGATATAATATTTAGAATAAAATAAAATTATATAATATTTTAAATGGGTTGGAAACATGATGTAAACGGATCAAAAATAGATCGAAAAATTAAACCCAATCCAACTCATTTATTTAAATGGGTTCGACGGGTTGACCCATTTATCTAAATAGGTTGAAAATTTCAACCTAACCTGCTAATTCTGGGTTGTGGTGGGTTTGAGTCATTTTTTGCCACCCCTAGCTAGATCTGAACCATCTATTCAGTCCGTTAAAAACAAGAGCATGAACAATTGTTTACAGAAAAAATGGGTAAATCCAGACTGGATTGTTAAAATTAACAGGCTTAGGGGCCGTTTACCAAATATTTACCCAGTAAGCGCTTACCGATAAAATTTAACACTATCATTTACTTACCGAATAAGATTTTAGTCCACCAAAATGACATCGTATGCAACAATTTACCTGGTAAGCCGTAAGCACTTACCATGGTAAGAGTCATCGCCTTCACTTACCGGGTAAGACTTTTGGTCCTTGTCTCGCTCTTACTGGATAAGATTCTTGGTCTTTATCATATTTATCCGGTAAAGTAATGTGACTTGATAAGCGCATATTTGAGTGGCCCTTTAGACTAAAAAAAATCCGGACAACCATTTCTGACACATTTATATTTTTATTGTTAGTTAAAAATGATTACCTTCCACTTGGCTTGGATTCTCTCTAGTGCTTACCAACCGCTTTTCAAATATATATCAAATGTGATTCGTCTTGATACTGAAATATTAGGTGTTGACGTGTTTGTTTATTTTTTTTAACCTTGTGGCTAAAAATTAGTCTCAAGTGTCTAATATCTCATTTATCTAGGGTTCGATTTTAGACGTACACAATAATTATGGCTATAGGATTTATCAGAGTTGAATTCTAACAGTCACATCTTGTCGAGATTAATTCAGGCATATCATTATACACCTTTAAAAAAAGATGATATCAAAGTACATGTGGCATTGAACCTTGTGGCTAAGAATTAGTCCTAAGTGATTACTCTTTGCTAACATCCATCTCGTTGATAAAAGGTACTTGGGATTATTTCTCGTATCTACCTTAATACCAATCATGAGCTCGATAAATGGTTATATCTATATTTTAACAAACAAGAATTAATTTTTTTTTATTATGTGAAAATTGCTTCAAATACTGTATCTATGTTAATTATTTAAAATCGAACAAAAAAAATCCGATGATTGAAAATGCTAAGTTTTCAGCAAATTGTAGTGCGTCTTATCCATTTTTAGCAGTATACATACACGAGACACATAATGGGTGATACATACAAACACTATACCATGTACAAAAGCTTGGTGGTGGAACATATTGGAGTTGCTTACGAATTTAAAGGGAAATTTCAAGTTAAAGAAATTCACCGTCCTTTTTTTTAAATAACATGTAACATGCATACAGATTTCAAAGAAAATGAAGAAGCTTACACCATAAAGCGAAAAGTTGTTTGCTTCTCCCTAACATTAAAGAGAGCAAGGGATACCCACACCCACATACATACGTGCATGATGCATATGCACACGTATACATCTAAATAATAGAGTCGGTTTTATCGATATACGTTCATTTCTAAACTCCAATAAGATTGTATACGTGTTCATAGTGAGAAAGGGGTCAAGCATCTTATCGTTTGTCCAGATGAATACCTCTCAAGCAATATCTGAAATCAGATTTCAAATTGACACGTTAATTATCTTAATTTAAACTCTAATAATGCTGTTCACAACATTCCAAAAAGTTGGTTTACTTAAGGACAAACAACTTCTACCAAATCTTAACATCATGATTCATGATTTTTGGAAAAAGGAACATATGAAAATTACACAACTAAAACAAGTAAGATGTGTTACGGTTTTATTATTTCTTTCTAAAAGAGGAAACATATTTCTAGGAATATAACAATCAAAGTTAAGCCAAGTCAAGCCAAGCCGCTTATTTTTCTATTTCATTTTCGTGAAACTTCTTTTGGGAAGCTACTTGAAAACTAGTGGTTGTAAACGAAAACAAGGCTATGTTTGTTCCAACTCAACATCAATAATTTCATAAAACCATTGATTAGATTTTGGGCTTCAATTATTATTTTGAAGACGAAATATCTAAGATGAGATGAGATATTCGTTCACAATAAAATCGGTTTTATAAGATGTTAAATATGTCTAAATGTTGTAATAGACTGATCTCTAAGATCGAAGTTATATGACCAAATAATCGTGTATCCTATATAAAAGTGTTACAATAAGTCGACAAACGTCATCAAAAAGGTTTTTGACCTAGTAACCATCATTCTTCGAGGTTAATGATTCGAGTCTCATCGTGAGAAGTATGTGTGAGTTCAATTTGCTATATACAAGTATTATATAATATGACTAAATACGTCATAACATCCAATTGTAACATCTTTACATAAAATATACAATAATTTAAACCTATAAACTTAAATTCTATAAAACAGTTTTTTTTTATAATATTTATACATATCTGACATTTTATATAAACAATTTCGTTATAATGATTAAAATTATAGAATAATATCAGATGTTTGGGTTAATTTTGAAACGTCTAAATGTAACCTTAATTAAACAAAACACTTGTAATTATATATAGTTTTTGTTGTCTTTCCTTGAAAGTATTTGCATAGATTAACATCTTAAGGTTTTTGTTTACAACCGCTCATTTTTTAAGCATCTTCTTGAAAAAGGATCACATAATAAGCGAAACACAAGTGGGTGGCGTGGCTTACCTACTTATTTCCTTGCACACATAAGTTGCTGTAGCTTGGATATATCTTCCATATACATATACATGCTTATAATATATATATATATATATAGAATGAGGTTCTAGAAAAAAACCCTTAAAAAAACTAAGAAATACTATAGTAACCATTTATTTGTATGATATATATTTATACATATATAAGTGATTGAAGACGTTTCGTGATATCTATATATGTATGCACATTATACACGTGTATATCGGACACGCATTCTTATAAAATGAAGATGTTATCGTTTAAACTTTTTCATATATATAATATATAAAAACCGTTTTAAAGGATGATATTGGTACAACAAGACATTCTTTCTATTGGACAAATTTAAAGAATTTTCTTTTTAGACTCAAATGATTGTCTAATCTCCATCACCAATTCATCTTCTCCAACCCTTAAAGATCTCTCTCTCTATACATACATACATACATATATATATATATATACACACACACACATTCATTCATATATTATACGCGTGTGTGTGTGTGTCTCTATCTATCTATATTCTCTCTCTTTGTTGGTAAGATAACGTGGAATGTAAGCAAACGTGTGATAAAACAAAGAAACAAACTTTGGAAGTAGTTTCTTGTTGGCAGACTATAAATACACAAGATCGCTTTCATGTGTAACCTCTTTTAATCTACTTCAAGATAAGTGGTTTCCAGTTTAAGTTCCATGACAAAGATCAATATGAAGTTTTCCAACTTCAAGTTTTCTTCATTCAGATTCAGAGGTATGTGTTTCATATCAATTATCCTTCATATATATATAAATCATCGTATAATGTTTTATTAATATTAAGGTTAATTTTCATTCAGGTAAATCTGATAAACAGTCCACAACTAGTTTCGTCAAAGAGATGGATGTTAATCAAGAATACCTCCAGGCATTTAGGACCAAATCTTACATAGATATTTGCAAAAAAGTACAGACCCACATTGGGTTCGATGAATCATCATCTTCTTCATCTGTTCATGATCATTATGTTCATCTCTGTGACATCCTTCTCGAACCACAGAGCGAAACCATAGCCAACCTAGCCGAGACCTTCGGCGTCCACCATCTAGTCCTTGATTTCTTCGAAGCTGGTTTAGAAGCATGGCATATATGTGAACAGCTTCTTGAATCCGTCCATCAAGCCAATGCCAATCATCGAAAAGTCAAAAGAGTCGTCAAGCTATCCCAACGGGTTACGGACGCTAGACGATTCACAAAAATATACGAAGAACTTGCTTCGTATTCATCATCCGCGAATCCTCTGTCGGCTTTCGACCCAGAAAAGTTTCCCAAATTACACACTGACCATAAACTGTTGTTAAAGAGGTTAACCGCAAAGCACACAAGGATCAGAAGAAAGCAAAAGCTCATCACTTTTTTGAAAAAGTCTGGCGGTTGCGCTCTTATAGCTTCATATGCAGTTTTGGCCGTTGTGCTGCTGGTTCTCGCGTGCCATGGATTGGTTGTGACTATAGCGTCTCCAGGGCTGATCGGGTGCTTTTTGGGATTGACCAAGAAGAGAGACACAGGCAAGACAGGGGTCAAGATGAGTGAGCTCAAGCGGGTTGGTGTGCAACTAGATATGGCAGCAAAAGGGATTTACACAATGATCAAAGATCTCGACACAATGGGTTGGCTTGTGGGAAGATTACAAAATGAAGTTGAATTTGGGAGGGCAATGGCCCGTAAATGTGTTAGAAACCGAAATCCGGATGTGTTAGAGGAAGTGATGAAGGAGTTTAGGGTTCATGAGAGTTGTTTCTTGGAACAGTTGGAAGAACTTGAGGATCATATTTACTTGTGTTTGCTTAATGTTAACAGATCAAGACGACTCCTAGTAGAAGAAATCATGCCCAGATGAAATAATCTAGTTTTTCATAGCTAAACAATTCAGATTTCATGCGTCTCAATTGTGGGAATTCAAAAATCAAACTATTTCTAGATGCAAATTGTAAAGAAAATTGACAGTAAAAATGTAGCGTATTGTGTATGGAGCCCTTTTTACCGTAAGGCCACTTGTGTCGATCATCTTTATAGAAGAATCATGGGCAGAAGAGGCGGTCGAGATGGTTAGAATCATTGGGAAGGTTAGAATCATTGGGAAGGTTAGAATTGTCTCAGCTTCTTGTACTCATCAAAGGTCAAGAAAGAAGCTTTGCTCTTGAGCCAGTCTGCTGGTTTGGGCATGATAATAGCAATGTATCCTTCTCTATCTGCCTGCAGTTCAGCATAAAGCAGGTGATTGAATAAGAATCTTGAAATGGCTTCTCCTATTTCAAAATGTTGGTCCTTTTAAGGTTTTGGCATATCAATTGGTTTTAATTATTATAAATTTCTATTCCTTTCTTTTATCCTTGCAGGTTATGCAATCTTTTGGAAAAAATTCATAATGAGAAAGAAAGATTTAGGGTATAAAAGAAAATGTATCATTAAATGCTCTTTAATTAGCTGCACTAAAAAAAATTGGTTTTACAAGACGTCATATATGTCTTAGGGGCCGTTTACCAAACACTGAACCGGTAAGCGCTTACCGGTAATATTCAACATTATCATTTACTTACCTGATAAGATTTTAGTTCACGAAAACGACATTGTATGCAACAATTTACCTGGTAAGCGCTTATCAYGTTAAGAGTCAATCGTCCTCACTTACCGGGTAACACTCTTTTCCTTGTCTTGCTCTTACCGGGTATAGATTCTTGGTCCTTATCGGATTAATCTGGTAAGGTAATGTGAGTCGGTAAGCTCTTACCCAAATAAGAGTTTGGTAAACGGCCCATTAATGTCCTAATAGACTACTTTAGAAGACTTAAGTTTATAGAAGTAAACAATTGTACTACCTATGTAGAAGTGTTACAATAAGTTTAATAGAAATTTTTTAGGAGTCCTAATACGTTTTTTAGGATACTTTTAAGACAAAGTGTCATATTAGCCTTTTTTTAAGAATATTTTTGAGAAATTCTATGAATACATCTTTTTTTATAGGACACTTCATTGATGTTTTATTTCAAAAGTGTCTTAAAGAACTTGTTAGAACACCCAAAAAACATCCTATCAACTTATTGCAACACTTTTACATATGGCGCACAGTTGTCTGGTCCTATACACCTAAGTATTAAGGAACTTGGACATATTTTATGTCCCATATAACTGACTTTTTTGTAGTGCTAAATGACTAACATCTGGAGAAATTGAAGTAACCCATATATTCGAACAGAGCGAGTATTAAGTACACAGGTGATTTATATAAGACATAGCATATAACTCCATAATTGAGTATAACATGCGTATTGCAACAGTATGCTTACCGCTGTATTCAGCAACTCTGGCTGCTTTATTAACCGCTCGTTCACTTCCAATAAAGAGCCTTTTATGCAACATCTGTCAAAAGCCACTCCCAAAAGTTCAACATTGACATGTAAAGCCACATTCATAGCAAGCTAGGAAATTACACTGATTTGGGGAATAACTAAATCTCAGATAGAAAGAAAATTGAATAAAGAGATAAAACTATAGTCTATACTCCCTAAGTTCCAAGTAGAAATCAAAGGTTTGACTTTGGAAGTCAAAAGGGCATCTTTGAGATGATAAAAATTTATTCAAACTTTGAAATAGTTTCATAGAAATCATTCAAGTACTTTGATAAGATGGTGCTATAATTGTATAGAGAGTTCATATTGTGAAGTTGAAATGCACCATGATTGAAGTCAAAAGTGGACTCTTTGACTGGAACAAAGGGAGTACAATCTTTCGCATTATAACATAACAAAAATGAATTTCTTGGCACATTAGAGAGAACTTTCTGGATATAAATACCAAAATGATTAATCTATAAAGCATAAAACAATGTTAAAAATAAAATTTTACCTCGCAATATAAAAAGTATTGTTGGTGCATACTTTACATAAAGCCGTGTTGGACTCAAAATGTTGTGCATTCTGTGAAAACAAATCAACATAGTAATTTCAGAAACTGAAAAAACATCAGCCTCACTCGTTTTGTTGATGTGAGAAAAACTGCACACGGGAAAAAATAACGGATCAAGTGCAAGGTATCTCATAGATAAGATAGGTACCCTCTGACTTTTGAGGCCAAACTAGCTCGTTGTCAGCTTCAAAATTATATAAACCCGATAAAATGTCGAGAAAATGATGCATTCTATGAACTCAAAAATGGACAGACACCCAATTCCTAAAGACTATACAAGAATAACCATTGCCAACTTTTTGAAAAATATTACCCACAAAGAGTCGTGTGTAATTTTCACATTCGCCAAGTTTTCTTATCTGGAAAAGGCCTCACTTCTTTTTACCTGATCTAATACCAAATTAGTAAAAAAAAAAAAGAAAAGGACACATGGAGGCACTGTTTGCATATTGAAATGATAAATGGTTGACTTGATGTAACTTTTTGAGTGTATCCTCAATAAATGGTCATTTTCACGTATTGAAGCACCAACCAAATCTTATGCTACAACAAACAAAAACTAAGTTCAACCAATTGGATCGGTTTTTTCACACGACTGCAATCTTCCATAACAACTGCAAAACAACTGAAAATCTTGGTTGGCAAAAAGGATTGGAGGTTCAAGAATGGATGTACCCTTTTGCGCTTCCCAGTGACCTTGATCTCACTGCGGTTAGACTTTCCAACATTAAAATCCACGGAAGTGACTCCTCCTTCATCCTTAAAGGCCACATGACCAGCAGCCAAGCCAATAACACACAAGCTTTATTCAGAAAACAGGAAAGGGAGACAGTGAACACTACCGACCAAGGTCCATGATAAATCATATAGAGAAAGAAACATTCAAATTAGGGGTAAAATTAGATAAAATCCACCATGAAACGTACCACATCCATTCCTAACAGTAATGATCAGACGTACAAAATGAATTTTTCTTTCTAGTTGTAATTTTCTAATCAATGATTCACTTTCTATTATCTATTTTGAAGATTGGAATCTTTTTACTGAGGATTTTTTGTCTTGTTCTATTTTCAGTTGGATTTTTGTATATGATTTTCTTTTGCAAATTCATAGGTTTGGCGCCCCTTATTGGTATATCGGACTACCATTTCTTTTGCAAATTCATAGGTTTGGCGCCCCTTATTGGTATATCGGACTACCATGTGCCATTCCATCACCAGAGGACCCCTCTAAAAGTTGTCTTTGACTCTTCAGGGGAACTTGAGGCAACGGCAACCTACAATTTAGAACCTAACACTTGTGCAGTCTTTATACTTCCTATCTTTCTTCTAAATAGATTGGCCTCCTCTCAATAGTGCCTTTACTAATCCCTCTTTATTTTGCCTTTACAAATTTCCATGTCAGAGGCAAGTTCGAAGGGTCCAAAACCATTGCAAATTCGCTGCTTGCAAGTCACTAAAAGTGGCACTATCATAAGCGGCAACACTATCATATTAATATTGAATATTAATATCCATGTAGCACCATGCTTTTTGTTAGTCTAGCAAAGAAACCATATAAAGTTTATATCCTGAAAATAACTCATTTGACCACGAAAATCTCTTTAATGTTTGGAGAAACGACAATGAATTATAGAACATTTAAACCCATCACATATGACGATCCACAATGTTCCTCTTTAAATAATATCTTCAAAAACTACATACCTCTAGTTCGTAATGATCTGCTATTTTCTTTATCATTTCGCTAAAATTCACTGTAGTTCCAAATTTTCAGATTTTAAATTCATTGCTACAAATAATTGTTTCCAGCAACGAGAAGGTCCAATTACACAAGTGAAGGTCCAGCCTTTTCATTGTACAAGAGGGGTGCAAAAACAGAGATAGTTCCAAAATTCTTACCCATTTGCATGGCGATAAATATATTGATCGTGCTCCGGCTTCGTAAAATCTAAAAAGATTCAAAATACAAGAATGTAACCAAAAATCATGATAGAAAAAGGGAAAAACAAAGATACTCCCTTTGTTACAGAAACAAACCACACTTTGATTTTGAATATTTGATAATGAACCAAGTACCTCTTAAATCAACTCATATAATGCAGTTAAAAATCAGCTTTCCAAAGTCGATCCCTTTAGCACAATTCATTCAAATAATTTAAATAACTAAATGAAAGCAAACGGCCTAAAACAATTTCACTTCATATCAAAAGATAATTAAGCCCAAAATAAGCATATGCACATTTTAACATAGAATTTGAAGCTCTTTTTTCCCTTTTCTTGTGAATGAAGAAATATAGATACAAATTCAAGGAACCCATGTGCATGCTTCACGCAGAAGTAAGTTGCATGGGTTGTTCCACGATGCAAATTGCAACTACACTTATATTAAACACCCCAAAATTGATACTTCCTCGTCCCCAAGTTAGTGCACATTTGATATTTTAGAGTCAAATTAGTTCAGTATTTAACTTCAAATTTCATAAATACATTTTAATTACTCCACATTTGACTTCTAAAATCATATAATTAACCTCAAATCTAGGTTGAAAAAAATAGTAGAATCATATATTGGTGCTTCTTCGTGAATCAAATTTAAAAAAATTGAAGGAATTGGTTTGTGAAATTACATACCAGGAACGAAATATGAAACGAAATTAAATTCGATTGCAGAAGGAGGAGAGATTGGGAGATGATTGACGTTTGGCAACAAAAGCTCCTTTAACTCCTTTTCTCCGTCATCTCCTTCACCATCAACGACCACCAAGTTGTCCTTAACGACTACCGGAACTTGTAATTCTTGATCGGCGGCACTACCGGAGTTTTGGCTGGTCATTTGAACTGAATCGAATTTGTAATTTAACGGCTAACCTAGCGACAACAAGATTTCCTCCGATTTGTTTGAAGACCCGATCGGATACATGGTCCCGGTGGTGATGATTAATTAAGATTTTGGCAGATGGGCTAAGATACCGAATATTTTGGGCCAAAACAATCCACCCCAAATCAAATATTTCTCGATGATTTTATTTTATGAATGCAGAAAATCGAGTATCGTAATATTTTATTTTAGCAATAAATCATGATTAATCGTAGTATTTTTATAAGATAACGATTAAGTGATTTAATTTTTAAAAATAATTATTGAGTTATTTTACACCGTTTACCAAATATTTATCGGGTAAGCGTTCACATTCACTTACTTATCATATAACATTCTTGACCATTAAAATAGACTGTTGGTAAACGTTTTAAATCGAATAAGCACTTACTATGTAAGAATCGTATCTCAGTTATCGGGTAAGATACTCTGTTATTGTTATGTTTCTTACCGAGTAAGTTTCTCAGTCTTTGTCATACTCAATCGGTACGATAAGTAATATCGGTAAGTGTTTACCCAATAGAAGTTTAGCAAGTGATCCCCATAATTTTACAGTTATTAACGCTTAGATTGAAACAACAATAAAACGTTCTGATTGCCTCTTTTTTGGAAACCTCAATGTTTTGCTTACTTCAAAATATCATATGACATCTTGTGTATCATGTAACCATTTATTTTTATTTTTATGACGACTTTTAAATGTGATTACTCATGTTAAGTTGTGTCATTTAATTACTTTATAGACCTTTAAATGATTTTTATGTCGCATGTACAAATATATTTTCTTTGGTTGAAACAAAATTTAAGAATCAATTCACATCTTAACATGTTCCATTGTCGTATAAAAAATGGAGTCTGTATTTTTTTGGAGCTTTCCTATTAAATTGGTCCCACAATCACCATAAAAAGGTCTATATAGCGTGAGACAACTTGCGAGTCAATCAACACTCAACTCAAATAGACTTGGCTCAAATTCGACTCGACTCGACATACTAACGAGTTGAGTGTTGAGTCGAGTTACCTAATACATGACTTGAAAAACTCATGAGATACTTGATTTTTTATATATGAGTAGCTTTAAAAAATTAATTAGTTTTATAATATAATTCATAAAATATAATATAAAAGCAAAATTTAAAAAAAAAAGGAGAAAACTAATCATTTATTTATTTTATTAAAATCATAATTGAAAAAGACCAAATAACCAAAAAACTATTGATTGAAGTTGTCTCACATTAAAAAAGAGATAGGGGTTGTTTGTTTACCTCTTAATAGTTCCATTAAGAGGCAACCTCTGAATCGTTAAGAGATGAATCTTGTTTGGCAAAATAAAAGTCTGCTTCTTAATGGTTCTAAAACCCTCTGAATAATTTTGTATCCTGGATCTCCCTTAACCATTAAGAGCCCTAATTTCATTGTACATAATTATCAAACAATTATATTTCATTTTGCACTATATCATGAGAGCATCTTAATCATTCTGACCACTTAATCATTCTGCACTAAACCATTCAGCAATTGCCAAACAGAAACGAAGGATGAAGGTGTTATAAAGGAGAGAGAGTGAATGTAGTTTGTAACTTTGTCTTTTTTATGATGAAACTTGACGTGCATCATTTGAGTTTTATAAAATTTAAGGATTACTTTTAAGTTTTATAATTTATAAGGGAAGATCCTAAAATTTCATACGGGTGAGTTTGATTCGGGTTCGTGCTTGATTCGAGTTCAAGTTTGAGACTGATTCGAGCTTCACATGAATTCGAGTTCAAGTTTAAAAAATGGCAATCGATTACCTTTTAACTACTCGAGTTTTCAAATCAAATTCGAGCTTGAGAATTAACTATGTAGTTCGAATCGAATATCTCAATACTCGAGCTCGACTCACATCATCTATATCTTATCCTAGTACTCCAACAGTGTCTAGGAGCTTTCATCTCAAGACCCAATATCTATCTTAGGGGTTGTTTGTCAAATGTTTAACCAGATAAGCAGACCAAGTTATGTTATCTTACCGGATGTATGATAAGAACAAAAGATCTTACATGGTAAAAGCAAAGGCGACGACTCTTATTTCGGTTAATGTTTATCGGGTAAATTGTCACGTACGATATCGTTTTGGTGGAATAAAATCTTACCTTAACCAGTAAGTGATAATATTGAATTTTACCGATAAGCACTTAATCGAGTAATATATTTAGCAAACAATTCCCTACTCTTATGTGTGTATGTGTGTGTGTGTTTTTAAAGCAGTTTGTTAAAAGATATGATTAAGTCAACATAAAGCAAACTAAATTTTGTTAAATCCCAACAAAAATATTACTAAAATGTAAAGTAAAGTGAGGACATGAGCCAATTTGTGGAAGTTGGAAAGTGTAGAGGGCTGAATGCTTAATTGGGAAAGCATTGAACTTATTTGCAGTTTAGGTTGATATACATGACCATCGCAATGTTTACTGTTCAGTCACTTGGAATTTGGAAAGATGATTAAAAAACGCAAAATAAAGTAAATGGGTACTTGAAATTATTATATTACTTAATAAATATAAATCGGAATAAATGGGTACTATAAATCATTAAAAACTATATTATGTATTTGCTTACAATCACGTGACACCCCACCTCCTTCCATTTTTGCTACCCTCACATTTAATTAAATATATTCCTGCATACATTTATATTTTAATTCGAATATAACAAATCTTATACATGACTAATAATAAATAATTAAATAGAGTTACTTCTTTTACAAGCTTAATAATCGTAAAGATTAAAAATCACTTTTTATAATTATGGAGATACAATATTTATATAATATTATTTTAATATACATAAAATAATATTGAACATTTCACATATAAAATAATTCTGACATATATATTGTATTTTATATGTTTTATTTCATATATAAAACAACATATAAAAATTAGATAATAAATTTATACAATTTATTGAGTTTATAAATAATTAGGCATCTAATTAATTAAATGTGTAAGGTATGTTTATACTCGTTTTTTATTGTATGGTGTATTTCGTTCACGTACGTGGATATGTAGAAATATAGTTGCATCATTATATCATTAACTATAAAAATGAAGATATCAAGGAGAAAAAAATTCTCTCGTTGATCCGTCGTTAAAGGGGTCTTCCGTCGTTGATAATCCATCGGTCAAAAGCTCGTAGGTAATGCTATCAGCGAGGGAACGTTTCAGCGACGGATCAGCTAGGGAAACTTTCAGCGACGGATAGAGAGAGAAACTTTCAGCGACGGATCTGCGAGGGAAATTTTTAGCAATAGATTTGCGAGGGAAGCTTTCAGCGACGAATCAGCGAGGATCAAGGAGGGCCTTTTAGCGAAGAATTTTCTCTTGCTAATCCGTCGCTAATGTTTATTAATTTAAAAATAAATAATTTATGATTACATAATTCCTGTATTTATTTATACAAAACCTGAACATAAAATAACAAACCAAAACTGTAAAAAAAATATTAAAACTAACCAATCAAAAACTAGTAATTAATTAAATCTATAGTTATTAATTAAAAAATTAATTAGGGAACTGATTTAAGGCATTTTCCTCCCAAATCCCTCACAGATCTGTAAGGAGGTGTTTGGTTGATGGAATTTGGTGGAATTGGAAGGAATTGGAATGTCCAAATCTTTGACCAAATTCTAAATCCATGTTTGGTTCACATAAAAGATGTAAAGGAATCCTTCCAATTCCATCCAATTCCTTAATTCATTGATTTCACAATTCCATCGCATATACCACGGATTTCAAATTCCAATCCGACAAACTCCTTAGCCCTCATCCATTCATCGACGTTGTATCTCGATTTGCTTTGTTCTGCTATGCTCGATCTCGTTTAAAGCTAAGAATGACAACGGGCCAGGTTCAGGCCGGTTATTGGTATCCCCGTCCCAGAAACCGATAACTAAAACCGTTCTCATGACCGCCCTGATCCCGTCGGGGATCTTATCGGGTCCCGCGGTTTCCCCGATCCCCGTTGGGGAATTCGTGAAGGTAAAAATCATCTTTTTCCCGTTCACCGTTGGTTGTAACCGAACCCGAAACAGATCTAAAAATCCCCGTTAAAATCCCCAGATTTAATATATATTATATATATGTATATAAATTAAAATTAATATATATATATATATACACATATCAAGCCGGGCCGGGCCGATGATCACCGTCACCACCCCCGTCCCCGTTAAAATCCCCGAATTTGTCCCCGATCCCTGCCCCGTCCCCGATAAGATGTCCCCGAACCCAGCCCGAAAGTTTCGGTTTCAGTTTTTTTTTCCTGTAATTTTCTCATTGAATTCCATGAACGAAACAAAAAAATTCCAATTCGGTTAAGAATTCCATTCTAATTCCATCGAACCAAACGCAATCAAAAGATATGATCAAATTCCATCAAATTACATTACATTCCCTCAAAGTCAAATTCATTTGATGAATTCCAATTCCATTGAATTCCATTCTAAGGGATCAGCAAGAGAAATCGTTTTTGGCCAATTCTTACTGATCCATCGCTGATCAACGAAGGATAAACGAGGGAACTGGTTTTTGCCTTTCCCTAGCTGATCAGCGATAGATTTTCTCCGTTGCTGATTTTCGTCACTGATACCTTGTTTTTTAGAAGTGATCGATTTTCACAAAAATTATGTATTATTACGATAAAAAAAAACATAATCGTTTAAATAACTTATAATGTTAATAACTTAATATTAATCAATTTTAAAAATATATAAAAGAAAAAGAAGAAAGAAGAATTAGAGTGCTTCTTATTATTACATAAACACATAAGAATACACAACTATATATAACCACCCCAATTCATTACCACAAGAATTAGGGAAACTTGTTTCGCTCCTCAAATCCATATACTTATTACATAAAAACTCCCCCCAAAAGAACAAAACATGGCGGGCTGCTTCTATAAAAAGAGTTAAGCATGCCGCTGCCAAAACCTCAAATCCTAAGCCCTGAAGCACAAACGGCATTTTTATTTTCTTTTTTAGAATTGTAAAAGGCTTGAGAAGGTTTGACCGAAACCCCAGTTTGCAGGGACGATATTCGGGAAAGTTTTGGTGACACCATCGGTGGTTGTGACCATGAACGACAAAGGTTGGCCGTTGAGGTACGAATTTGATTGCCAGTTAGCTCCCCAATTTCTGGACATCGGCACCCAGTCACTTTTAGAGCCCTTGACCTTCACCGACTGAATCGCTCCGGCACCTCCAACGTTGGTTATCAGAACAAGCTCAAAGTAGTCTCGTCCGTTTATCGTGAATCTAACTCCACCGTGTTTCTTACATGGTACTCTGAAAACCAATCAAACGAAAAATAAATCAATCAGTGAAATCCCTGAAAAACATTTAGGGACCGTTTAAGACGTTTATAATGCATCTGCCGATGTGTGTGCAAGTGATCAAGAAAGATGGGGACCGGACCTTTGGAAGAGAACGGGGACGATTCCACCTTTGTAAATGCCGATTTTCTCCCAAGCAGGCTGAGCCATATCGAAATGCTGGAGGGGTGGATTGCACCACCCTCCGGCATTGCTAGGCTGATCGAAATTTGGTGGGCAAAAGTTTGTTGCGGTGATGGTCACAGACACACCTTTCTTGCACCATTTTGGGTCTGCCTTGTAATCACATATGATCTTGTAGCACTGGCCGCAAGAAGCACCTTCGTTAAAAAGAGCAGTACTCAATGCAGCAGTTCTTGTACCATACCCACTCGAGTACAAGTTACCATATCCACAAGCACCCCCTGCACAATACAAGTTACGATCTCTAAGACTCGCATTTGGTATGTAAACAAGACACAGACTAGTTTTCTGTCTAGTGCTTGGTACGCCTATCAAGACACAACATGAATGTCACTAAGTTTATCATAAAATGGGATCAGTCGGTTCAGAATTTTCTTTCAACAAGGTTTAACATGTCATTTTCATATACAAGAATGTCACTAAGCTTATCATAAGGTTATGTTGTTAATAAAGTTCCAAATAAAATGCCTAAAGCAGTAGTAAATGTCTAAAATATCCCTACAGCAAAATAAAATCTTTAGCATCAATAAACTATGAAGATAGTAAGCATACCCATTGTTCCTGAAGCATCACTGCCTCCATAAAAGGTTGCATGACCGTTTGTCCATGCTGAAGCCGTAAAAGCATGGACATAAACGAAAAGGTGGCAGATAGCAGGTAGCAAAAGGAAGAAAATGCTGGCCATTTTTGTGGTCTGCAGAAGATATGAAGCAAATGAGGAAGAGGAAGAAGAAGAAGAAGATGGGTTTAACAGATGAGAAGAACAACTACTTAAATAAGGACCAACCCAACAACGTCACATGTAAATCTGCAAGTAGAGAATGCAGAGAGGGTTTTTAATTATTATTTGATTTATATATATATATATATATATACCTCTGCACAAGGGTGAAGAAATTCTGAATCTGATTCAATCATTCCCACTTTCTATCTAACCATTTGTCTACATATCATTCACATGGCTTCCCCAGCAGACGAGCCGTGAATGGATCAAACCCACAACCCATGGAAATTACTTGAAAGCAATGTGTTTTATAATATGAAGAGCGACTAACTTATTATAACTGGGTTTTCTTAGTTAAAATATGTGTGTATGAAGAATTAATGCACAGGAATCACCTGCACAATGAACCTTTAATGTTGTGTTGTTGCTAAATGAAGAAAAATGCATTAAATGCATAGGTTAAGTTGCTTAAAAAGATAAAAAAGAAATGGAGTTTGACTGTCACATGGCTGTAGTTTGACCTTTTGTGGATCCAAATTCTAATAAAGTTAAAGGATGCACTGCACAGTGCACATTATATCAGATTGATGTGGTGAGGTGGGGTGCCCTTATTTGTGTGCAGGCTTTGTATATAATTAAAATAAAACAAATATTTGGATTTAAGATCCCTCAAATATGTCATCTTGTTGCAGGTTGACACGGAATTGCTTTTTGAAGATACGCCATTTTCAAAAACTGATGATTTAAACAAAATATTTGAGTGGAAATTGTGTTTTATTTTAATACAAACCTTTAACTCTTAAATCATTGTATTTGGCTTCAATGAGAAGAATCTTTTGAATCAAAATAATGTCATTAATGCTCACGATCATATTACATTATGGGAAAAAGTAACTTTAGCTTTAATTTCCTAAAAAGAAAAAAAAAACCATTTTTTTAATGATTTGGAAACTCCAAGAAGAAAATATATAACTAAAACAACCTTAAATATTTATTAACATATATTTGTTTCACAATATTATGTGTTATATGTATGTGTTGTAACTTTTTATTTGTTTCTTAAACATGTAAAAAATGTTCATATTGTGAAACAAACTCACTGTAAAATAAATATAAGTTAATGAAGACCCTAAATCCAAGTCATAGATGGAAAAAAAATCATATGAACGATGCACCGGTTCTCAAAATTTTATGGGTTCTTAAATGATTAGCCCCTAAATCTATATTTTTAACTATTTATCAAAACAACACAACGATTTGTATTGATAAATGAAGTTATGAATGGAGTTTATATTTCGTGATTTTTATAAGCAAGGTGCTTAATGCATATGAATTTTGAGATCGTAAATCATAGTTGTGCTTAAAGACTCTTCATGTAAAAAGAAATTACTCTAGAAAAGTATTTAGGAAGATAACTAGAAAAAACAAGTGATTAAATTTTGAAAATGGGTGTTCTCAGACTTCATCCAGACTATTCTCATGTCAAGTCGTAACTGTAGGTTTCGTCCACAGACCTGTTGTAAATCTCTCAGTAGCCACAAACACATACGTATATAACAAGATCCAAACCCGGATTGATTTATCATTCTCTTGTCTTTATCCACCACACTACCATCCTTTTGGTTAAGTGATTAAACCTTGCGATCATTGTATTTGCCTTTTTTTTCCACCATAAATCATCATTATTGTTAAATTAAAATGTAAAAAAAATCACACGAGAACAATGATTTACTAATATAATATAACCAAAAGTATTCATTCGTTCTTTTTATATTTTCACGAAAACAGTGATTATTTGTAACAAAAAGACAAATACAGTAATTTAAAAAAGTAAATAAACATAGAAAGCCTCCTTACAAAATTGTCGTGTAACATGGGGAGGGAATTATGTAGGCATATAATTCATCTTGTCTGCCCTACAATTTGGGTTAATGATTGATCTAAAGAGGACTTGCTAAGAATAAAAAATAATATAGAAGAGTGTCGGTTCATCTAATTAAATTTTACTTTTTAATATCTTTTCAAAGTTGTTTCAAACTTAATTACATATTTATATTTGTAATTGATAAGCTTATATTTAAACATGTTTTTATAATAAATCTAGTACATATTGTAATGTTTATATAGCTTATAGAACCCCTTTAATTTAGTTATTGATTGGTCTTTGATAGGTACAAAAAGGATGGATTTTAATACCAGCAGAGCATATATTTCGAAACTGTTACAAGGGCAGGCATAGTTTTCTGAAGGAWTATGAAGCTGAGCATATTTATGAAATAGGTTCTGGACAAGGCATACGAATTCAAATGGCGTTAAATGGAAGCATATTTTATCAAATGTTTTTAATAAAACCCCAAAAACAGCAGCCCAGCCCAAATCAGAAGGCGAGAGAAGCGAGAGAGGTAGTGCGGCTGCAAGAGCGGGAGATCATGGGCAAGAACGAGAGACGTGGGCAAGAGATGGAGGTGCGATTGAGGAGGTCGTGGGTTAAAAGAGGGGCTGTTCGAGAGAAGA